TGTGCTGTGCTGTGCTTTGTTTTTCTTCCAATTTAAGTTTATTGTATCCTTGTGTGTGTGCGCGAGTGGGTTTTTGTCTGGGAGAACTGGGCGAGTGAGAGGAACTGCAGGAGAAACAAGGCAGGGGACCAAGGTAAGGTCTCGGAAGGGATACTGATGGCAGACCAGGAGATGGCCTTGGCGGGAGTCATGGGTGTTTCTGCCCTCTGCGAGAGCTGCGACATGTTCGCCCTTCTCCCCCAGGAGAGGCAGGGGTACACTTGCCCTCGGTGCAAGATGGTGACCCTGCTAGAAGAGGAGGTGAGGTGCCTGAGGGCCGAGAGGGCTCTCCAGGCCCCCCCGGAGCAGCCCCCCTCTGGACAGAGGGTTGAGGGAGAGGCCACGGGAGCAGCAGCTGCGGAGACATGGAGGCATGTCACCCACAGGAGGAGGAGGCTAGCACGGCCTCCTCCTTCTCCTGGCACCAATCTGGAGCTGGGAAACAGGTTCTCTCCACTTGGGGAGGCTGGGGCTGATGAGGCCTCAGGGGACCAGCAGGACCCCCAGCCTGGGACATCAGGCAGCAAGGGGGCCGCTGCGGGAGAGGCGAGGGCCAGGGCACGGCTACCCACCAGCACTGGGAAGGTACGGCGGTGGGTTATTGTTGTTGGGGACTCCCTGCTGAAGGGCACTGAGGCGGCAGTGTGCCGCCCCAACCTGGAGACAAGGAAGGTTTGCTGCCTGCCGGGCGCACGCATCCGGCATGTGAAGGACAGAGTGGAGCATCTTGTTCACTCCAGGGGTCACCAGCTGCTCCTGGTGATCCATGTGGGCACAAACGACGTGGCCAGGCAGGGTGTGGTCGGGATCACTAGGGACTTCGAGGCCTTGGGGAAGAAACTCAGGGAGCTGAAGGCCCAAGTGGCCTTCTCGTCAATCTTACCTGTCCAAGGATTTGGGCCAGGAAGGGACAGGAGGGCCTCCGAGGTGAATGACTGGCTTAGGGTGTGGTGCCAGAAGGAACGCTTCAGGTTCCTCGACCGCGGCACTTGGTTTCTTGCCAATGGACTTCTGGCAAGGGATGGGTTACACCTCACGAGGATGGGGAAAAGGTCCTTTGGAGATGCTCTAGCGAGCTTTGTCTGGAAGACTTTAAACTGAGCTGGGGGGGGGGTTCAGGCCCCCAGGAACGTGTCTGCACTGGACAAGTGTGGGGGGAGGATCAGGGCTCTGGGAGCAGGGTTTTAGAGATACTGCAGGGACTGACAGGACTCCTACAGAGAGGGGCCAGGTATCAGGGAGGATGGGAGGAAGGAGGAGGCTGGGAACTCCAAGGGAAGGAAGCGGTGGGAAGGAGTTGAGGTGCATGTACACCAATGCTAGGAGCATGGGTAATAAGCAGGAAGAGCTTGAAGCTCTCCTGGGAATAGGAGGGTATGATCTGGTGGGAATCACAGAAACTTGGTGGGATGAAAGGCAAGTCTGGAATGTGAACATAGAAGGGTATCACCTTTTTATAAAGGACAGGAAGGGAAAGAGAGGTGGGGGCGTGGCTTTATACGTCAGGGAAGGGATAGGATGCAGTGAGATAGAATGCAGCGCAGATGGGGATTCGGTAGAGGCGGTCTGGGTGAAACTTAGGGGTTTTGACAGGGAAAGTGACCTGACAGTGGGGGTATGTTATCGCCCTCCAGGTCAACTTGAGACCCTGGATGATGTCCTGACAGACCAGATTCTAAGGATATCTCAGGGGAGAGACACAGTAATTATGGGAGATTTCAATCTCCTGGATATTACTTGGGAGACTCACTCGGTGGTGACAGCCAGGTCACGTCGCTTCCTAGAAGCTATAGAGGGAGGGTTTTTCACACAGAGGGTCCAAGAGGTGACGAGGGGGGGAAACATCCTTTACTTAGTCTTGACCAATAGGGAGGAGCTGATAGATGAAGTACAGATTAGGGGAGCTCTGGATGCGAGTGATCACTCCATCCTTTGCTTTGAGATCAGGGGACTGGGGACAGGTCGAGCACTAGAAGCTGGGACTTCAAGAGGGCCAACTTTGGCCAACTGAAGGCCAGACTGGGGAAAGTCTCCTGGGATAGGTTACTGGAAGGTAAGCGAGTTGAGGAGGGTGGATAGCACTCAAAAGGGAGGTTTTGGAGGCGTAAGCCTTGACAATACCTCTAGTCAGTAAGGTGGAGGAGAGTGCCGCCATGGATGTGAAAGGAGGTGGTTAAAGGAATTAGATGAAAGAGGAACCTCCATAGGAAATGGGTACTGGGGGAAATAGACAAAAGGGTATACCGGGAGGAGGAGGCCCGTTGTAGAAGGATTCTTCGCAAGGCTAAGGCTGATTACGAGCTGAGACTTGCCAAGAATATCAAGAGCAACAAAAAGGGCTTCTTTCAGCATGTAAATAGGAAGAGGAAGGAGAGACAAGTGGTAGGACCAGTAAATAAGGAGGAAGGAGATCCAGTGACTGATATGAGGGAACAGGCACAGATGCTAAATGACTATTTTGCCTCTGTGTTCTCTCCAAAGCAGGACGGGGGATATCCGCATAGGAGATTAGATGAGGCTGGGGACTTAGGGGCACAGATTAGAGTCACCCCCCTTGAAGTCGAGGGGCTCCTCAGGGCATTGGACATTACAAAGGCGCCAGGCCCTGACGGGTTACACCCGAGAGTACTTAGAGAGTTGGCAGGGGTTCTCTCACGCCCGCCGGCCTCCATTTTTGAGACCTCGTGGAGAATGGGTGAAATTCCAGAGGACTGGAGGGTGGCATCAGTGGTCCCAATTTTCAAAAAGGGTAGTAGAAAGGACATGGGGAATTATAGACTGGTTAGCCTTACGTTCATTGTAGGAAAAACAATGGAAAGGCTCATAATAGAGAGAGATCTAGTGATGCTAGATAGGGAAGGGAGGCTGACAGCCACACAACACGGCTTCTGCAAAAACAGGTCCTGCCAGACACACCTCGTGAAATTCTGTGACAAGGTTTCGAGATGGCTAGATGGAGGGGATGCAGTGGATGTGGTATACCTGGATTTCAGCAAGGCCTTTGACAAAGTGCCCCATGATATCCTGGTGGAGAAACTGAGGAGTTTTGGGATACACCAAAGCACTGTCCAGTGGATTAGGGCATGGTTGACTGACCGAAAGCAGAAGGTAACCATTAGCGGGGAATCATTGGGATGGTGGTCAGTAACAAGTGGGGTCCCTTAGGGCTCTGTCCTGGGGCCGATCCTGTTTAATCTTTTCATTAACGACATGGAAGAAGGGGTGAACAGTCTGCTGATCAAATTTGCAGATGACACTAAAACTGGAGCAGTGGCCACAACTGAGGAGCAGGTACTCCAGATCCAAAAGGATCTGGACAGACTATGGAAGGGGGCAGGAGACAACAGAAGGGCATTCAATGTAGATAAGTGCAAGGCATAGGAATAGGTGTCATAAGTACAGGTTAGGTGACAAGTGGCTGGAGAGCAGCACTTGTGAAAGGGGCCTCAGGGTGCTGGTTGACTGCGGGCTAAACATGAGTCAGCAGTGTGATGCGGTGGTCAAGAGGGCAAACGCTACTCTTGGTTGCATAGCCAGAAGTGTGGCTTCTAGATCAAGAGAGGTATTACTACCACTCTACACAACTCTGGTGTGCCCGCAATTGGAGTATTGTGTTCAGTTTTGGGCCCCTCATTACAGGAAGGATATAGCCAGGTTGGAGTCAGTGCAGCGTAGGGCCACAAGGTTGGTGTCCGGTTTGCAGGTGATGCCGTATGAGGCGAGTCTGAGGGAACTGGGTCTCGTCAGCCTGGAGAAGAGGAGACTCAGAGGGGATAGGTTGGCGACATACAGGTATGTGAGGGGATGTCACATGGAGATGGGCAGAGACCTGTTCTCCCCTGCAGAGGAAGGCAGGACAAGCTCCAATGGAGCAAAGCTCAGGGAGCCAAGGTTCCATTTGGATGCCAGGAAGCACTGCCTGACAGTCAGGACCCCGAGGGTGTGGAATGGGCTTCCACAGGAGGTCGTTGAGGCCCCATCGGTGCGGGTGTTCAAGGATAGGCTGGACGTCCACATGTTGTGAACGGAGCCGGCTGGTTCCGGAGGTCAGACTAGATGGCCCGGGAGATCCCTTCTCACTCGCTCTGTTTCTATGTTTCTATCAGAAGGTTGGTGAAACTACAAATATATTTGTCTTCTACTTGCTTAATTATCTTGGCTCCCCCCAAAGAATCCTAGAATTTTAATTTAACAAATAGGAGAAGAACAGTCATTTAGTAGCCCAAAGTCCACAGCTGTACAAGCACAGGATTTCCTAGCAAAAAGAACGACTATTAAGGTCGTTCATATTTATAATGTGGAACAGATATGCTCACAGAGCCTGTGTCTACCCCACTCAGTGCATGTTAGTGGAAAGGCTTGTATGTGCTAATTGCTCCAGCAGCTTGCTACACTGTGAGCTGGGTTCGAAAAATGTGTCTGAAAGCATGAGAATCAGCATGGGAGACTAAAGGTGCAAACCTATGTGATGGCTGCTGAGGGTTGTAGCCATCCCAGGCACAGCAGGAGAAGCAGCAGCAGCAATCTCTCCCTCCCCACCCTCCTGCCCCCATCTTTGCTGGAAGGGCTTGTTTGCCTGTCTGGCTGGAGTGTTTCAGTGGGGTAAGGCAGGAAGCTGGAGAGAGCACAGGATAGCTCATGTCTTGGCATACCCAGTCTTCTGCTAAGATGGAGCTCCAGTTCCTAGCTCTGAGGTCAGAGCACTGACTTTGGATCTGGGAATCCGAATTATCAGGTGGTACCTAGGGGCCACAGGCTTGCTGCCTGTGCCAAACTTTGGAGATCCTGACAGGCATTCCAGTAGCCACCTTCTCACACATGCTTTGTAGGACCAATTCTCAGAGAAGCCCTTCGACTGGTATCTGTTTTATTAATGAATTACATTTCTATACTGTCTAATAGCTGGAGCTTTCTGGGTGGCTCACACATCCATGAACAACCAAGTGCTATGGCTTCGGGACTCATGTAGGTTGTTTCTTGGGCAGCAGAGGAGAAAGGTCAGCTGGAATCCCAATCCACTCAGGCAGGAAGGCTGCTGAGGGCTTGAAAACCTTGAGGAAAGGGGAGTCTGGCAAAGTATAGTTGGCTAAATAAACAGTCTCGCCCCCAACCAGGTAGCCGGCCCAGATTCCAAAAGTACCAATGGTCATTATTGTGTGGTTGCAATGCGCAAGAAGGGCAAAATCTTTTCCTGGAGAGGACTCCTGCCCGTTCCCAGCAAAGTGAACATCTCCTCTAGAGACATTTATGTTTTCTTTGCACCAATCCATCCCATTGCTGGTCACCACAAAAATGGGATTCTGATACTTCTTTCTGAAATAGTTCATGGCTTTCTCCAGGTAGCCTCTATCAGCCACCACACCTTTCCAGGTATTGGGCATTACTCTCACGTAATCCCCTCTCCGGACATGCACTCCAACATATGTCACCTCCTGGTGCTCCTGCCGGAGTCCCAAAAGATATTGATTTGCCTCTTCCTTGATGTGGTCATGGAAGGTGAACTCTTTCAGTATCTCATGGCGGATGTGGTGATAAAAAGTATAAGAACAAGGGTAGCCAGTCAGCATCACATATGTGCCCTTGATGTGGCAATAATCCTGTGACATCCAATCATGTAGGTTGATGTTTTTCCAGCGAATCTTGCCCATCATTTCCTCAGGGAGCACAGGCAAAGTGATCTGGAATATTGGCGATAGATACCTGTGCATGCCCGGAAGAATGTAGGCTTGGTGCCCGTTGAGTTTGGCCAAGGCATAAAGGGTGGCATATTCCCCCATCTGGTTCCCCAAGCGTCCAATGGAGTTCACTGTCCATATTCCAGCACCTATTGGTTCAGGAGATGACCTGGAAGAAGTACATGTAGTACTGAAAGGGCCTCTCGATGTGAAATTGGAAGTATAATTGATGTCGGCAGTCCAAAATTCATGCGAGTTCTTGTAGTTCAGGTGTAAGAATGTGGAGAGAGAGAAGAGGCCAAAGAAGTAGCAGAAGAGTAAGAGGGTGCATTGGCTGAAGATAAATCTATCCAGGAGATTATTAGCACCAAAGCAGGAAGACCTAAAGAAAGAATATGGTGGAGTGAGATGATATGTAGGACAGCACACAGAATGCAACCACCAATGTCCCTGAGTAATGAAATGTATGACAGCGAGCTGTTTGAAGCCTGACAGTGAATTGTAGGCATGTCTACTCAGAAGTAAGTTCAAGTTCAATGGAGTTTACTTCCAAGTAAATGGGTATAGGATTGCAGACTGAATCAACAAGTCTGATGCTTGCATACAGCAACCTGGAAGGACACTTGCAATATACCTAGAACATGATGAAGGCCCATGATGCATCAATTTTGCAAGTTTGGATGAAGCACATCTGGCTTTGGCCAGTATCTGGACGGGAGACTATCTGGAATCTTGGTCTGTGTTGACCCAACTTTCATAGAAGAAAGTCAGAGCATGAATGAAACAACTAAGTAAAATACCTACTGTACAGTCTTGAACTAGTTAGTTTAATGAATATTCTGCTTTTGAGAAACCTTTGAGATGGAGAGGATGCTGAAGCATTATATGGAACAGATAATTTAGGGTGGCATAAAGCTTATTTTGGGGAGCAAAGGTTTGTGGTTCTTTACTCAGGCTATTTCTTGTACTTCAGTGTTCAGTCAGGAACTGCAGACGAAAGTCTAGCTGGGCCCAGGGAACCAGACAGTTTTGCATTGGCAACATGGATTCCTCACATGCTGTGATTGTTCAGAGACCCATTTCTATAGCACCCTGCTATGGAACAAATTTTCCAGAGAGGTTCACTCAGCTCCTAAGTCGTGCTCTTTTAGACTCTAGGTGGAGATTTTCCCCGAAATCTTGGTCTTTCTGTTTCTGTTGTTTTAAATCTGTTATGATAATTTACATGTTTCCGTTGCTCCTAGTTTTATTTTGGGGTTTATATTCACCTTTTATACTGTAATTCTACACTTTTCAGGTTTTTATATTTTAATCTGTAGTATTTTGTGGCTTTAATTGCTATGAATCACCCAGAAGGCTTTGAGTATTGGGTCTGGTAGAAATATAGTAAGATTATCTCCCCTCCCCAAGTTTGGCACTCTATTTTTTTTCCTCTCCAGAGCAAGCGATATGGTATATTTGCATAACAAATAAAGATTGAGCAATATGATTTGAAGCAAAATTGATACCTTTACAGGTTTTTCCGGCATGGTATAAGGTTAAACAAAGACTTGGTCCTGGTGTTTCTCCATTAGCATCTATTTTTAGGCACCAGAAATTCAGCTCTGAAAGACAACCTTTAACTTTCAGGTGTGAGATAGAAAGAATGCATGAATGAAAGCGGGGGTGGGGGGGGGACGGGGGATTGGTATTTGAGTTGTAAATGGACCAAAGCTGTCTGGACAAGAAATAAGAATACAAATTGGGAGGAAGTTAGAAACTTCCCTGGTTTCCATATTTCCACTTTTCTAGTCCAGGAATTGACCCAGCAACTTTTTTTAAAACAGGGGGCCAGTTCACTGTCCCTCAGACTGTTAGCGGGGTGGACTATAGTTTGAAAAAAAAAATGAATGAATTCCTATGCACACTGCACATTAAAAAATAATTAAAATTAAAATAAATTTAAAGATTAAATTTAAAATAAATTTAAAAATTAATTAAATCTAAAATTAAATTTAAAATTAAATTTAAAATTAATTAAAATTAAAAAATAAAATTAATTAAAATTTAAAAGAATAATTAAACATTAAAAAATGTTTGCTCTGCTCACTCAGGCTGCAGCAAAAAGCCAAGATGAGGTGGGGAAGAGCATGTCCATATTCAAGGGACATAGCTACAATGTCCACGATCATGCTGGGGGGGAGATGGTTGCGATTGCGCTCATGCTGGAAAGGCAGGCACAATCGTGGCCATCTCCCCCCCTCCCAAAGCACTACCGCAATCGTGCCTGTCTTCCCTGTACAAGCGTGACCGCGATTGCAGCCATCTCCCCCCCCCCCCGCTCCCAGCACGATCGTGCAGGGAAGGCGGGCACCATTGCAGAAGCGCTCATGCACTGAGCACACCTGTGCCGCTCAGAGCTTTTGGACTTTGCTCAGAGATTGTTTTCTCCAAGTGAGTCCAAAACCTCTGAGGTGGGCCGGATAAATGGGCATGGTGAGCCGGATGCGCCCCGCGAGCTGTAGTTTGAGGACCCATGCCTTAGGGAATGGTTATTAACAATTTATTTATTTTATTTATTTTTCGATTTATATCCTGCCTTTTTCCTACAAGGGCTCAAAGCAGCTTACATCTCCTCCTCCATCTTATCCCCACAACAACAACCCTGTGAGGTAGGTTGGACTGAGAGTCTGTGACTGGCCCAAAGTCACTCGGATGGCTCCGTGGCTGAGCAGGAACTAGAACCCAGGTCGTCCCGAGTCTCAGTCCCATGCTCTTAACCACTACACCACACTGGCTCTCCTGTAACAATGTAAGTCTCAAGCATGGTTGCACCACTGCGGAAGGTCAGAGGGGGCATTTTGTTCCCCAGAAGCTGTTCCTTTGAAAGTTGCTCTCTGCATTGCACTGGGCAGTCCACAGCTTTCCCAAACCCCTGTTTCGGTTTCAATCTAAATAATCTGCATTTTGCCACCGAAATTTTGAGGCAAACCACTCTCTTTCACCATGAAGTGCTGCAAAGATATATTAACGTGGTTCTGAATTTAGAAAATGAGTTGCATCCAGCAGTTTTAACAGTTTGCATTGCAGTCACCTTGGAAAGCAGGTGCCCCAGTTCTTTCCCGGGCAACTGCAGGAGGGCAGAGGAGGCACTGCAACTCAAATCAGGGTGCCCGTCACAACTTATATTTAACCCAGTATCAGTTACCTGTTCACCCAGTCAAACAGCCAAAATAGGCCCTCCATCCTTACCTCATTCTCCAGTTCTTCTTTTGCATTCTTCTTTCAGTTCCACGGTAACAAATTCAACTTCCCCAAGTTATATTCCTCATGATGTCAGGAAACAATGGACACCCATGGTCCCCTGCCTCCTCCACTTTCGCTTGCTGCTTGATTTTGGTTTCTGCTTCCCGGACAAGCCTAGCACCAATAAGCACCAATCTCTCAAAGTGACTTTGCTCACCTGATGAAAGCTTAACTTGGAGCTATACCTTTCTGCTGCAGCGTTCTTAGAGATATGGGCAAAGCTGACGGAAATTCAGTGTGATTTTATCTACTTTTGCCTGAGAACTTTGCCCCACCTTGATCCTGGATCAGAACAAAGAAAAATATATACCAGTGATATGTTGAGTTTTCCATTGTTACTACATTCCTGCAGGCATAAAACGAAACTAATGGGCCGATCATGATACAACAATCATATCAGGTTTCTCATTTTGTATTCATATTCACCTATGGCTCTCTGTCTGTTCTACTTAAACTTGAAGCTAACACACATAAAAGACCACCACATATTTAACTATTACATATTACAATCTGCATGTCTTTTGAAGATAGTACATGACTCAAACACAGTGCTGTGAGCGCTCCCTAAATCTAGATAAGCTTGGACTTTGTTATTGGGTGCAGAATCCTGGTGAAGTCAAATTTTTGGTGGGATGGGGAAGTTGCTTGTGTGCTTTAAAAAACAGAACAAGTTTCTAGTCCGAACAACGCCAGTGTCTGGGGCATGAAAGTGCATGGTATACATGTAGTAAAATCTCAAAAGCCAAACACAGTCATCTGATGTAAAGGTTTTTTGTGGTTTAATAGGGAAAGGGGGGGGGCTACTCCTTAAGCACTAACTTCCACTGCAGAAAGCAGAAGCCAGAGTAAGTTAAACCATCCTGTTTACATATGTGCTAATAACATTGTCAATTCATGGCCTCAAGCACATGTCAATCCCAGCAACCAGGCACACACTTGTTATTTATTGTATTTATATCTTACCTTTTTTCTTTCAAAGAACTCAAAAGTGGCTGACATCATTCTCCTCTTCCTGCTCTCAATCTTATCCCTACAACAACAGCCCTGTGAGGTAGGTTGGGCTGAGGGTCTGTGACTGGCCCAAAGTCACCCAGCTGGCCCCATGGCTGAGCGGGGACTAAAACCCAGATTGCCTGAGTCCTAGACCCACACTCTTAACCTCTACACCACACTGGGTTTCTTACACTACACCAAGAGACCCAGTAGCAGTGCCGAAAACAACAGAACAACAGTTTTTTACAGCATGTATCTTCACAGCTCTCACACTCTTTGAAAGAAGGGTTTTTAATTAACAGCATGATCAGTTGCATGCTAACCTTTAAAAATGTCATATGAAGGCAGGGTGCGGTCCTTTGCTCTCTCATTGTTCCTGTGCTGTTTATTTGAAGATGGATGTCAAGCGTGATGTCTCCTTGGATTGGATTCCTCTGATTACATATGCCTCCTTTCCCCCAGTTCTCTTTGCTATGGTTTGCTGGCTGCAAGGGCTTCAGAATGGCTTTGAGAGCAGTATCATCAGTAGAGGGTCATGGTATCATCCTGAGCTGTGCGGTCATGATTTTGAATTTCATGTGCCCCGTTTTCCTGTGTCCTGTGGGATGCTCCTCCTCTGGTCCCACCTGCTGCTGCTGCTGCTGCTGCAGGCACACGAATTCAATGGGGAAAACCGGCTATTAAATGCACACAAAACCTGATTGCATTTTTAAAGGCTTTAAGAATGCATAAGAATATCAAATATATTATTTTGATACAGAGTGCAGATGTCAGGTCATTAACCTGCAGCTGGCAACTTCTGCATTATATTATAATAAACAGACCAAGAAAACAAATGACAAGTATTTTATTTGCCAATTAAGAAAATGAGGAAAGTATCAAGTGGTGGGCAGGTAGAGTTGGAGGCCAAGATGCAATGGGGCAAAGACAAACTATTAAAGGCATTTGTGAAGGATTTTAGGCAATACAGCAGATTATATGGAAAATAGATCATTCTAAGAGATTACAGTGTGGATAATGATTTATTCCTGTAGTGAAGAGGAGAAGATTGGTGTGTTGTAGGTATCAACCCTTTCAGTTTCAAGGGTTGTCCTTCTATGATTCTGCAAACGAGGTAGAGAGCCACCCTCCGTTTAAAGGTGTCCTCTGTTTGGAGGGGTTTCCTGTCTTATAGGGATGCTATTCTAACTGATCTTGGCAAGGTTGGTCATGTAATGGCAAGCAGGATGTTATTTTAAGTGACCACAACCCAGTGTGATTGTGCCTTGAAAAGGTGGATTACAGTCACTGGTTGTGAATCAATGTGGCAACACCCTATTTTTACTGCCTACTTAACTGTAACATGTGTGGCTTCTAGACTGAGAGAAGTATTACTACCACTCTATATGACTCTGGTGTGCCTGCAACTGGAGTATTGTGTTCAGTTTTGGGCCCCTCATTACAGGAAGGATATAGCCAGGTTGGAGTCAGTGCAGCGTAGGGCCACAAGGTTGGTGGCTGGTTTGCAGGGGATGCGGTATGAGGCGGGACTGAGGGAACTGGGTCTCTTCAGCCTGGAGGAGAGGAGACTCAGAGGGGATCTGTTGGAGACATACAGGTATGTGAGGGGATGTCACACGGAGATGGGTAGAGACCTGTTCTCTCCTACAGAGGAGGGAAGGATGCAATCCAATGGAGCAAAGCTCAGCGAGCCAAGGTTCAATTTAGATGTCAGGAAGTACTTTCTGACAGTTTGGACCCTGAGGGTATGGAATGGACTTCCACAGGAGGTGATTGAGGCCCCATCAGTGAGGGTGTTCAAAGATAGGCTGGACATGCACATGGTGGGCATGTCGTGAGCAGAGCCGGCTGGAGCCGGGGGTCAGACTAGATGGCCTGGGAGACCCCTTCTGACTCACTCTGTTTCTATGTTTCTATTATTTCTGAGCAGGGCTGGTATCACAGGTAGGCATGGCTGGGTATTTATGAGATGCCTCGATTCCTGGAGCTTCCCCCTGAGAAAAACCGCCTGAACTGGTTTCTTCTTTTCACCATTGCAACTGCTTATTCACCTCCCTCACTGTTGTATGGCGAGATTTTACGGACGAGACCAGAGACTGGTTGGAATCGAGAGGGATTTATTTTTACCTGCCGGCAGGGACCATGCACTCGTGAGAGTGTGGTGGTGAGCAGATTGAAGGCAGGATTTTTATACTCTTTTACACGGACGGCTATGCAGGTGCTTGAATAACAGCGAACAATAGGGGAAATCCACTGAGCTACATTCGCACACATTTTTTTATGCTAAAGCAAGCAAGCGAGGGTACAGGGCGTGACGTTATGCTGGAGTGTAGCAACAAAGGCTGCTTTGTGGTCAGCCTTGCGTAGCGTGCACATCCGTGTTCAGGTACTTGTTCTCATGCGAACAGGACACCCTGATACTCGTGATGAGCTATGCCCTGGCTACGTGCTCGATTAAGAGGGGGGTTACAACATTCCCTACTCGTCTTCGTGTAGAGAGGCAGGTTTCAGATTTGTTAGGCACCGGGGAACATTTTGGGACAAGCCAGGCCTGTCCAAGAGGCTCCACTTGATCCAGAATGGAGCCAGGCTGCTGGCATGTGGCACAGAAAAGGTGGTAGAGCAGCTTTTAAAATGGGCCCTGGGGAAAAGCTGACAAGAGAGCAAGGAAGTACCCGGTTCAGGTCAAATAATCCTTTGTGTATGAAGGGGAGGAAGCAGGTAATGAGATGAGCCATGATACCCAGTCTAAAGTGAGAGCCAGTGTGGTGTAGTGGCTAAGAGCATGGGACTGGGACTCAGAGGATCTGGGTTTGAGTCCCTGCTCGGCCATGGAGCCAGCTGGGTGACTTTGGGCCAGTCACAGTCTCTCAGCCCAACCTACCTCACAGGGTTGTTGTTGTGGGGATAAGATGGAGGAGGAGAGATAATGTAAGCTGCCTTGAGCCCTTTGTAGGAAAAAGGCAGGATATAAATAAAAAAAAATAAAATAAATAAAATAAATAATAAATAAGTGTGAAGACTCCTCCACTGAAGCAATTGGGTGAAAATTCCTGGCTCCGAAACTAACTTACTCCTAGGAGTGTGCTATCATCTCCCAGACCAGAATGCTCTGAGTGGTCTTGAGATGGGACATAAAATCAGGGAGGCATCCAACAGAAGCAACCCTTAGGTGGGGTTGTGAGTCTTACAACATTCTGTATTAGGAGCAATGCTTTTCAACCTGTTCATGAATGATCTGGAATTAGGTGCTTTGGGGTTGCAGGTGAATTTCTAAGCAATGGGGAAAGGTTTAGCATAGCTCAACTTTTAGACTAGGAGCTTTTCCACACAAAGTATTCATTGTGCTGCTAAGTGCTGCATTTAATTTTGGTTTCATCAATGCACTGATATCTGTACAAAGAGCTCCCTTTTCCTGCTGCACACCCTTCTGTGTGCGGCTTGGATAGAACAGAACAGTGGGGAATACACAAGGAGAAAAGAGCACCATTTTCTCCATTGTAATTTAATACTTCATTTTCCCTGTTCTAAAAACTTCCAGGAAAAAGCTGTGAAAAAGCAGCAGGGACCCCAGTGTCTGTAAATAACCATGAGTAAACAATCACAAGCACAGAATAAATAGTGACCAAGCCCTGGGTGGCTGATAGGTTTGTTTGTTTCTCATGTATGAGTAAAAAGTCTCAGCACAGCTCACAAGGAACAGAGACACCTCTGTTTGCATCTGCCACACCCGGCCAGTTCTTAATCCAGGATGCTAATGGAAATGCTGGGACTAGTTCCACATGGCCACCTCATCTAAAAATAAAGGGAGGTCAGAGCCTACCCCAAAAATTTCTCAGAAATGTATCTGGCTTCCATATCATGGGTATAGTTTTGACATACCCGCACCCATGAAACATGTGACAAGAAAAAACACAGAGAGTCTGCTACAGGTGTACAATCAAATG